GGTTTGGAAATAGGAGAATTATTGGGGTGTTACACTAGACTTTCCTCATTTTCACTTCGTTCGATAATCAAATTACGTGAAAAATATTCATCACTGGGTTTGGTTTTTTGGGAGACACATTTGGGTGTCTACAACTAGATTTAAGGATTAAAAATAATTGTGTAAATAATATATTTTGTATAAAATAATTAAATAGGAAAATACCAATTACTCACTAATTAATTTAACTATGAAAAATCATATTTTCTACTTAGAAAATCCGAATATGTTAGCTAATTATTTAGGAAATTTGGCCCTTTTAAATTAAATAAGAAAATATAATTTTGTTTAATTAAAATATCCAAAATATATATAAATAATCCGGTTTTTAAAATAAAATAAATGGATAATAAATCTTAACCAAAATCCAAAAATAATAATTGAGTTTTTAAAATACTTTTGACACCAAAATTGTAATATCATTTTGGCTCCAAAATTCAAATAGTAAAATAAATTACTAAAATACCCTTTTTAAGAGAATACTAGTTAATTAATTAGAAATACATTTAAAAAATTCGGGGTATTACACAAGGTCTATTGGTTCTTAGCCTTGGCAGGCTGAACCTGCCGCGGGCTTGATATTCGAGAGGTAGCACTCTCGAGCCGTCTTCTGGTCCCCATTCACGGAGCCAACAATTCCATCATCCTTCTCATACTTGACCAGCATGAGGGAATGGATTATGACGGCCTTGTACTCGTTGAGAGTGGGTCGGCCAAGAATGAGATTGTAGGCGATCATCTCTTTAACCACCAGAAATTGGTTGGTCATGTGAAGATCGCTTCCTTTCTCTCCCAGGCGGACAGGCAGATCAATCCGTCCGACTGGGTGCAAAACTCCTCCCCCAAACCCGACTAGGGGATGGGAGGCATCCATTATGATGTTGAGTCTGTATTTAAGGTTGGACAGACATTTGCAGCTAATGATGTCTGAGGATCTTCCTATTTTGATTAAGATGCGACCAACCTTTTGATTCGCCACTTTTCATTCAATGACTACAGGGTCATCATGCGGCCAACGGACTTTGCCTCTGTCCTTTTTGGTGATTATGACTTCGGGGAAGACGGATGTGCTAGCCACCTGTCCCTCTTCAACAGAATGGACCATCTTTCACATATGGTCCTTGGTGCCCCGCAGGTCGGGCCACCCCCGGCGAATCCGCCTGCTATTGTTTAGACCGGCTCCTCATCGGTTTTGGAAGTATCTGCAGGCTGGGGAATCTTTTTTCAAGACTGCCCCAAATTCGCCTTAGAAGTCACTTTAGACTTCACATAGGACTTCAGCGCTCCTTTGCCGGCCAGACGGTCAACCCGTCCGCTTGAGGGTGAAGCAGTCGTTTGTGTCATGGCCGACATCCTCATGGTAATGGCAGTGTTTGTTTTTGTTCCGAATTTCAGCGGAACCTTTCATAGGAGTTGGCTTCTCCAGAGTCAGCCGATCTTTTTATCTCCATGAGGATGGAGTAGCTGTCTTTGTGGAACTCATACCATGGAACGTACTACTTCCACTGTTTCTTCTTCTTCTGGGCCGGCTGATCGGAGTTATCAACTACCCATATCTCTTTTTTTCTTTTTGCTCTCTTCTAGTTTTAGAGACGGCTGAGCAGGCCGACTCTCCTTCTGTCGGTCAGATTTCTTTGAGTCCGATTGCTTATTTGAGGAGCAGAGCTCGGTCACCTGTATGTAGGCTTCCGCCTCCATCATGATTCCTTGGAGGGTGAAAATTTTCTTGCGGACGAGTTCGAACTTGAAAGTCGACCCGTCCTTTAGACTTTTGAAAAAGTCTGTATAAGCCACTACGTCAAACAGTCCTTGAATCTGGATTCTCACTAGATTGAACCTCCTGACTTATGATCGCATCCCTTCTCTATCTCCCTGCTGCACATGGCCTAGATCAAGGCTCGTTTTATTTTCAAGGATTTTCATAGAGAAGTTAGAAGCAAACAAGAACACAAGCGTCTTGAAGCTATTGATGCAACCAGCCGACAGATTGTCAAAACCACTATTGGGCTATGCCCTTTAGGGTGGCTGGAAAGCAACGACACCATGCGACATCATCCAACCCCTATAAGTACATAAGGTGGGTGTATGCTAGAAGGTGATCTTCTGGTTGGTGGTACCATCAAAGGTCCCAACCAATACATTTTTAACCTTCGCCAGCTGTTCGGCCTCGGCTATTTCTTTGGAGAACGCAGAGGGTTGTTCCCCAAGTTTTTGTAGCCAAAGCTGCCAGTCTATAGTCTGGTAGTTATATGCCGCCTGTCCTCCGAATAAGGCATACTAGATGTAGGGAAAAGCAGGCGGCCTGTATAATGGTTGTGCCATATACTACGCCGAGTTGATTACATGGGGTCCTGTTTGGACGAGAAGGTCGCTTGACGGGGTCCCTTGTAAAGATTGAGAATTCCTAACAAAGGTTGTAATACCCCTCATGATTGCTTTAAAAGGAGTTTAATATACTACTCATATCAACAAGGTGCATCTTCCTTTTAGGGATCTCATTTGCTAAGAATTCTCAATAGTTAAGCGTGCTTGGCTAGGAGTAGTCTTGGGATGGGTGACCTTCTGGGAAGTTTTCTCGGGGTGCGCATGAGTGAGGACAAAATGCGCCGGAAGAACTTGTGTTGGTTTGTGGGGACAGTTGTTGGCCCTCGATGCGCATTTCGTGACAATAGGCCCCTCCCTAATTTGTTTGGGGTCGTGGTGTTATAAATGGTATCAGAGCAACCCTACGACCACGTGCTGACCGTGGATAATTAATCATAGGTCAGTCGTCTAGCTGGGGAGAATTCTGGGGCCATATGGACATAGCCAGACTGGATGTAACACTTTGGCTACCCAGTTGCCATTAGGCGTAATACTGGAGTCCCTAGCTTTCCAGGCGCAACAAGGGCGTTTCCGTTCTCAAGTGGGGGTGTATGTAATACCCCTCATGATTGCTTTAAAAGGAGTTTAATATACTACTCATACCAACAAGGTGCATTTTCTTTTTAGGGAGCTCATTTGCTAAGAATTCTCTATAGTTAAGCGTGCTTGGCTGGGAGTAGTCTTGGGATGGGTGACCTCCTGGGAAGTTTTTTCGGGGTGCGCATGAGTGAGGATAAAATGCGCTGGAAGGACTTGTGTTGGTTTGTTGGGACAGTTGTTGGCCCTCGATGTGCATTTCGTGACAATAGGCCCCTCCCTAATTTGTTTGGGGTCGGGGTGTTACAAAGGTATTATGAAAGCTATCATAATAAGTCGACATAGATGTCGACTTTTGCGTTCTAGGTTGTGTTGGTTTCTTGGTCGACTGTTCCTTTCTAGGAAAAGTCGACCGCTTGGTGATCAAATCTATAATTTCACCCTTAAAACTGCTCATGAATTTCATGAGCTCATCTCGGGTGACTGGAGCTAATCTTGCCGTCTAGGATAGATCAGCCGGCTACCCTGAGGGCTTACTTGACTGTCCAGGGGGCCTGCTTGGACCTGCTTGGTTAGAATTGCACTCTCGCCTCTCTTTATGACGGATGTGCTTAGAGATGAGGGACCCATCATGGGCCACATAGGTTTCGATGTCTCCATCATCACCTGAGTCATGGTCCGGCTAGACCAACACTTCTTCCGGAGGCTGATTGGTCTCTAGAGGCGCCACAGGTTGATCTTGTGAAGCCATATTAGAGGTACTCTCCCCACATACGGCGCCAAATCATTCAGGGGTTTTTGTGTCCCTTTGGTGAGTTACAACTCAAATATTGGATTCGATAAGGACGCCTGTACCTGCAAAACGAACGGAGCTCCGAATGGTCGGAGGTCTGCCTCTAAAGATTAATTAAGTTAGTACAGAATTGGAGCAAAACGTGCGGAAAGTAAGTTATCTGCTCAGATTCTGAGCCCAGACGTTCTCTATTTTTTAGAGCAATAAATGCCTTAGTGATTAAGGCGTAAAGTTCTAGGTGTCAAAATTGTCCCAATTATTGGGGGAATCTCCCTATATATAGGTTCCTAGAAAAATGTGGCCTGCCCTAGGGTTTGATGACCTAGGGATTAGGGCAGCGCCGTTTTGCGGCGCCTCTTGGGATTTAGGCCTTGAAGGCTGCCATTCTCAGGGGGCATATTAGAGTGACATGTGTCGCCCATCTGGGGAGTCCATTTGGGCACCTCCCAGAATAAACACGTGTCATTCTCTAATTGGTCCACTTGGGGTTATTAAATACCCCAAATCACCACTACTAGGAAAGGTTCATTAGAGAGGAAGAAGCCAACCCAGCCTCAAGCTTCCTACCATCTTCCTGAAAGGGCACAGGAAGCAAGGACAGGGACAAACACTAAATAAGCAACAACTTCTTATCAATGACAAGAAATCTACAAGCGACGGAAAAAATTATATCCCTAAAAGCTATGTCTACAGGCTTGTAATCTCTTGTGAACATTAAAGAATTCCTCTGAATCCAAATGCAGTGAACAATCTCTACAAAGAACATTAACAACAGTCTGCCCCTACCAATAGATCTTCTGATATGCTGTAGAATCCATTGCACTTTAGAAGAGAAGCTTTTCTTAACTCTGTAATAACTAAGAAGCTGCAAAATTCTATTCCAAATGCTAGCAGAATAATAACAATCAAAAAATAAGTGAGAAACTTTTTTGCAGCATTAGAACAGAAAAAACACAAAGTGTCACAAGGGATACTCCAACAAGGATTCTATCTCTAGTAACCAGCCTGTTCCATAATGCTAACCAGGTAAAGAAACAGGCTTATTACAGATTAATGTCTTCCAAACAACCTTCTCATCTTGAGGTCTGATCTGAGTATACTCATTTTTCCATAAAGAGTGATACCAGACCAACCTCCAATGCTATCAATTAAAACTCTACAGTGCATAATCTTTTTCAAAACCTAGGAACATTTCTTGGGAACAGGTTCAGACCAAAAATCTCTATTATTAAAATAGTAAGTGTGAATCCACTTAACCCATAGGTTATCAGATAGATTTACGAGAAATATCCCATAAGACTTTAGTAACATCAGCCTTATTCCAGTCTTCAAGGCATGTCAAATTCCATCCACCATAAGTCTTAGGTAAACACATATATTTCCAAGAAGCTAAGGCTTTCTTGCTAGGATTACCTTTACTTTTCCACAAAAGGCATCTAAATGTTGAGTCCATTTCCCTCAAGATCTTCTTAGGAAGAATATAGATATGGGACCAGTAAGCTTGAATACCCAAAAGGACACTTTTGATCAAAGGAAGTCTGTCGGCATAAGAGAGGTGCCTAGTAGCCCATTCCTCAATTCTAGCAGTCACTCTCTCAACCAAAGGCCTACAGTGGGAGATAGTTACCTTTTTAGAAGAACGAGGCACATCTAGATACTTGAAAGGCAAAGAAACTTTAGCAACCCCCAACACAGACTGAAGATCAGTTTGAACCTGCTCAGTAATTCCCCCAAAATACACATCACTTTTATCCAAGTTAGCAGCAGAAGAAAACTTCTAAAAAGCTTGAAAACCCAACTGAATAGAAATAATATTAGCTCTAGAGAAAAGAAGCAAGTCATCAGCATACATCATATGAGTAATACCTAACTTTGAACATCTTGGATGAAAATTGAAATCAGGGTTCAAAGTCATCTCCTTTAAGCATCTAGAAAGGTATTCCATTCAAACAGCAAAAAGAAAAGGAGACATAGGGTTACCTTATCTCAAACCTCTCTTGGCAGAAAAAGGGACAGTAGGGTATCCATTAATCAAGTTAGAGTAAGAAATTGCAGTTACACATCTGATAATCCAAGAAATAAACCTGTTTGGAAAGCCTAATTCACCGAGAACAGTTTCCAAGAAACTCCATTCCACAGAGTCATAAGCCTTCATGAGATCAATCTTCAATAAACATCTTGGAGTAATAAACTTGTGAGAGCATCCTTTTATAAGCTCAGTGGCAAGCAAAATATTATCACCAATGTGCTTACAAGGAATAAAACCTTCCTGAGCATCATTAATGACAAAACCAATAACAATTGCAAGTGTAGCTATAATGATTTTAGAGATAAGTTTATAAACTAAAGTACAACAAGAAATATGCCTGTACTCCAATGCATAAGAAGGATTAGTCACTTTAGGCACAACAGTAATGGTAGTAAAGTTCCATTGCCTAGCAAATTTTCCATGACAGAAGAAATAAAGGACTCCATCATAAATATCAGATTTTACAATGCTCGAAGCTTGTTTAAAAACTACGGCATTAAAGCCATCAATACCAGGAGCCTTATCATTACTGATATCACTAAGGGCCTGATCAATTTCATTATGAGTAACATCTGCCAGAAGAAAATCTCTGGCAGATATGTCTAGCTGCTTACCATTTCTCATAGTAGACAGATCCACCCCAAGAACAGAGTGACTAGTAGATCCCAAAATATTCTTATAGAAGCCAAGAATTTCATCAGTTATAAGAACGGGATCCTTGAGCAAAATCCCTTGACTTTTATAAATCGAATTAATTCTATTTTTATTTTGCCTTTGTTTCATCATGGAGAAGAAGTGAGAGTTAGCATCCCTAAGCTTAATGCAGTACATTCTAGACTTTTCCTGTAAATGCTGCTTTGAATATTCATCCAATGCTTCACCCTATCAATAACAGGAATCTTAAGAGTCTAAAGGTGACTATTGGTCCAATCTCTAGCTAATTTTTCCTGAATTTCACTAAGATCTTTGTGAGCTTGCTCTAAACACTTAATGATGTTAGAAATATGTTTAACATTCAACTTCTTAAGGCCTATCTTTACAGAATTAATTTATTCAAAACAGTCACCATTGGATAAGTAGAAACCTCACTAGAATTCCAAAAATCCTGAACAGCCTTCTGAAAATCTATATGCTCAGCAAGGCAGTTTAAAAACCTGAAGGGTCTACCCTTTCATGAGCCAGCAGTAACATTATCAAATAAGAGAGGGCAGTGATCAAAGAGGGAGGGAGGGAGATAGATAACTTCCACTTGACCATAACAATGGATCCAAGTTTCATTAACCAGATCCCTTTCAATTCTTGTAGCAGTTTTGTTCTCACCTTCACCCTTATTTGACCAAGAATAGAAAGATCCTTTACTTTTTATTTCAGCAAGATCCAAAATCTCAACACAATCCTTGAAATCTCTCACTCTAGCATCAGTAACATGATTCCCATTATATTTATCCTCTGAGCATAGACCATAATTGAAATCTCCTATATAGATCTAAGGAAGTAGAGAAATCCCCAAAGCTTGCAATCAGGTCTAGAGAGGTCTCTAATCTTTAATTGAATGCAGTCCATAGACAAAGGTGCATAAAATAACATGCTGCAAGTCAACACATTAAGAGTCACTTTATCAGGTTTCAAACCAATCCAAATTCTATCTATTACAAAGTGATCATAAGAACAATGCCAAGTCCAAGATCTACTAAACTTCTTCTGAATAGAACATTGATTACGGATTTTGACTTTCGTTTCAAGTATAGCAATTACATAACCATCATGATCCTTCAGCAACTGCTTAACAGCAGTTACCTTGTCAGGGTCATTAAGACCCCTAATATTCCATGAGACAACAATCATCCCACCAAAGAGGGATTACCATCACCCTTAATAGGAATAGTATCAGCTGTAAGCGTCGTTTGATGTGCGCCTACGTTAAAGCATGTGTGAATATACTTGGCACTCTTAGGAGGTGAGAATTGACATATACGATTAGGGACAAGGAAAGTAGGGAGCCGCCAACAATTTTTTAAGGAACTTGTAAACCGTTCACGGATCATAAAAAGGCAACCACGATAAGAGACAACGATAGGCAACAACGATTGACCCGTGAAGGTTACACCCCATTCATAATCCATGAGATTACTAACTCCATATGGTTCGGAACCACAAAAGGAGGATTTGGGATGATGGTACGAAGTGAGTCATGGAGTCACATTCGCCCGTATTGGCCTCTACTCGATTCTTATAGTGAAAAGTGTTTCCTGCGATCTCAAAGGCAGACAAACAAAGATTCAATTTGCTCCAAACTATTATTATGCTAAATTGGTTAAATATTAATGCACAATAATTCTTTGTGTATTATATGGACTCCTTGGAGTGCTTAAAGGAATGAATAGTGAAAGAATTGGGAGGCTAGGATAAAGAGGGAGAAGAGAATTATTTGATGATCAAGCTTGTTGATGATTGAAAAAGGGGATATATGACCTCCATTTATAGAGAAAAAAGAAGGGTCGAAAAAACAAGATAAGATCCGAATTATTATATCTTTTGATCCAGATATTGGAATAAGATAAATAAGATATCGTTGGAAAGCTATTGAAGTCTACTTTCTACCCCAATTCAAATCATATTAAAATATTTTTTAGAATAAAATATATGGCCAAAATAGTGAGACGGTGTCAATTTTGGATAGAGTTTGACATTTTATTCATATTTTTTCTGTTATAGCTCGAAATTGATATTATAATATATCATTGGAAATATAATTTCAAGGGCTATCCAACCATATAAAATTTGGATAAAAAACATGAGGTACGAAAATCATATTTGACTATCTTTGAACGTCTTTCAATTCGAATAGAATTAGGACTTTTAAAAAGAAAAGTTTTATTCAATTACAAAATCTTTAATCTTATCTTTTCAAAAAGGATAATTAAGATCTTTTAGAAACTTATAGAAGCATCTAATTAATCCTAATTGGTTTAGGAATGGGATTAAATAATTTGGACCCTCCACATGATCATTGGGTTGTAGGTAAGGTGGGCTTAGGTTCGGTTTGGGCTTGGCTTAATATTTTGGTCATAACTTATTCGTTAAAACTCAGATTTGGGCTTATAATATACCGTTGGAAAGCTCTTTTAAAGTCCCATCCAAATATTTAATCATTGAACCCAGATAATGGACAAAAATAAACTGTACTAAACGTTTTTATAAAAAGGACACGAAATGAATGATTTTAAAGGACACAAAATGAATTATTTTGGGTTTAAAGGCAAAAAAAGAGGAAAATAAGTTATGGTTTGGGGAAATGGGCTAGAATTTGGGTTGGTTTATGAAATGGAAATATTGATTTAAGCACTCCAAGATTAAACACTTAACCCGACGAATAATGGCGGTGAACGGTTGTTCATCATCGGGTTTGGTTTTGGGGAGACATTTTTAGGTGTCTACAGAAGCCCTCACTTTGACTGAGTTTGTAGAAACGTTATTTTCGAAAACGATAGTCAAAGTAGTCGATAGGGACGGAGAATGATTTAAGGCGTTCTGCGATCCTAAATCACTCTTTATACACCGATACCTGCAGAAAAATGTTAGTTCTACAGATAAAAGAGTAAAGGAATAAAATACGTATCTGACACCAGTGTATCGGTGACAAATGAGTTTGGTAGCTTCCTATGCTTGAGGGAATCCACCGGATGAAGTTTGTTGAAACGCTTTACATGCCTGAGGAAAGCCGACTGACGAGTTTGGTAGCTTTCTATGTTTGAAGAAATCTACCGGATAATACTTTCCAGGCTTGAAGAAAGTCGACATATTAATTTGGCGGATTTCTATGCTTGAGAAAATCCACCGAATAATACTTTCCATGCTTGAGGAAAGCCGACATATGATTTTGGCAGGTTTCTTTGCTTGAAGAAATCCACCGAATGACACTTTCCATGCTTGAGGAAAGTCGATAGATGATTTTGGCAGCTTTCTATGCTTGAAGAAATCCTCCAGATAATACTTTCCATGCTTGAGTAAAGTCGACAGATGATGAGATTGCAAGTCTTTGTGTATCGAGAACCTTGCGCCGTGAAATGATGGTGGTTTGATTGTCCCCGAACGTGGGCTGTAGTTGGTTCGCTTGTCCCCGAACGTGGGTTGTAGTTGGTTCGCTTGTCTCCGAACGTGGGTTGTAGTTGGTTCGCTTGTCCCCGAACGTGGGCTGTAATTGGTTCGCTTGTCCCCGAACGTGGGCTGTAAATGGCACGCTTGTCCCCGAACGTTGGCTGTAAATGGTCCGCTTGTCCCCGGACGTAGGCTGTAATTGAGACCTGCAAAATAAAATTTGCCAAGGGACACGTACAGACTGTGATTGACTTTGCCAACTGACTTGACCAAGTTTTACTTGTCACGACATGACATGTGTATGACTTCTGATTGTTTGTGTATAAGTATGATTTTAATGTATGAGCAGACACAAGCAATTAACAATGCAAAAAGCAAAAATTTTCCGTCATTTTTATCATGAGACGAGTGGAGGGTACCGACTTTCTCCCAAAAAAGAAAGACGTAAAAACTGAACTTTTATTTTCGAAATTCCCTGAATGAGAAAAATTTTGAAAAAGTTTTTGAACTTCCCCAAAAGAAAAGACATGGAAAGAGAAGAAATTTTGAACTTCCTCGTTGAGCAAGACGAAATTAATCGCATGGATTGTATGCATGATGCATGTTCTTAGGTCGGAGGCTAAGGACAATTACATCATGTGACACGATATATGAATGACCTTAGGTCATGGAGCTAAGCATCATATATGGTGTAAAGAAACGATCTTGAACGTCACTTAGGTCTAGAAGCTAACCACGTATATAGATGAAGTGATTATTTTATAATGAACGTTGCTTAGGTCAAGGAGCTAAGAACGATATGCTTTGTATGATTAAAAATTTTTGATATATAAATGTTGCTCAGCATATTATGAGATGCATGAAACAATGAACATTCCTCAGGTTAGGAAGCTAAGCAAGTATCCAATGTTTCTTTTAATGAATGTTATCTTGAAAGACGATGAAACATGCACAATGTTTAAACAAGATTTCACGATAAAGGGCTCTTAAAGGTAAAGATCATATGGATATGGATATGGATGTGTGAGTAAAGTGTGAATGTGATACTAAGGCTGTTTGCAAAGGCTATGGTGATGGAAATTTATGTGAGAAAAGTCAAAATGGTGACTCTTTAGGCTGGGTAGGCTAAATGATGTGGGATCAAGCCCCCAAGTCTAGCTCTAGATGGATAGGGTCATAAGATTAAGCATTGGATATTCTTTGACGCGATCATGCATATGAATGTGGTCGCACCTCAATGTGAGGTTGCCTACGTATCCGTTAGGAATCAGGCCGAACGTAGCTCTGGCCGAACTTTGCACAAATGTATGTACACCTCAAAGAGTGGTCGTCTTTCAAGGGTCGTAATATGATTAAGTTGATGGTTTAAAGAAGAAAAGGGTACAAGGCTCAAGACCCGAGAGAATCCCCAAGATGTGTAATTGTGAATTTGAAAATTTTAAATTTTTCAAGTTTATTTTCTTTTTTTTATTTTTATTTTTTATTTTTTGCTTTTCGTTTTTTTTTTCCATTCTTTTGAATCAATGTGGGAAATCTCAGATCATGCGATCCATCACTCACTTTGCATTCATGCTTCTCAGGCACGGTACCAAGCACTCGATGAAAGACGCAATTTGAGATGTGTTCATATCAAATACATTGAAACACTTGCCCTTAGACATTGTTTTATTGTTGCTTTGCTAATTTTTATTTTACTTGCTTTTTGAATGTTATACAATTACACACCTTCCCATCCTAAGGTTAAGTGAATGTGGGTTAAAGAAATGTAGGCCAAACGTTAGATGTTTAGCATATATATATATATATATATATATATATATATATATATATATATATATATATATATATATATATATATATATATATATATATATATATATATATATATATATATGTATGTATATATATATGTATGTATATACATATATATACATATATATATACATATATATACATATATATATATACATATATATATATATATATATGTATATATATATATATACATACATATATATATATATATACATATATATATATACATATATATATATATACATATATATATATACATACATATATATATATATACATATATATATATATACATATATATATATATACATATATATATATATATATACATATATATATATATACATATATATATATATATACATATATATATATATATACATATATATATATATATATATAATATATATATATATATATATATATATATATATATATATATATATCTATGTGAGAACCACCCTTTATGTGAGAACACCAATACTAGCCATTAGATTATATGAAATTCAATGGCCGAGATTAAAAGACAAAGCTTGTTTAACTGCTTCAACTTTCTCATTTTTTCGCTCCGCAAAACCAAGCTCCATAATTATCAATGGCGACTGATTAATCCATTTGAAGGCTTGACAATTTTGATTTCATCTTCTTCTTCACAAGTACGAATAACTTCGATTAAAGAATTTGAAGGCTCGATAATTATCAAGGTTTGTTCAACTTTTCAATTTCGATATTACTCCTCTGAAAATTTCGAATTGCATCAATTATTAAGGCACTGTAAGTTAATTTAATTTTGATTTTCGTTGTTCTCTATGATTTAATTTGAATTTTAAATCAAGATTGTGCGATTTTGATTACAAAATTTTGGGTTTCACATTTTTTTAATTTCGATTTTAGTATTCTGGAAATTTTTGATATGAATGTTCTTAATTTTG